CCTTGGCCCCCGCCCTATACGCGCTGGGACAGCATGACGCGCTGCAACGGGCTGCCCGGGCGCTTCACCCGGCCGACAGTCTCATGGCCTTCCTTGACGACCTGTACGTCATCACTGTGCCGGACCGCGCCAGGGAGGCACTTGATGGAACCGTGCGGGCCGTAGAGGAAAATTGCGGCATCGCATCCAACCTCGGCAAGACGCGGGTGTTTGGACAGGAGGGCCCGCCCCCGCCAGGCATAGAAACGCTGGGCCACGACGCATGGCGGGGCGACAAACCGTTGCACCAAAGAGGCGCCGTGGTTCTGGGCTCGCCCATCGGGCACCTGGAATATGTCCAGGCATAGGCAGGCGGCGCGCTTTGTACGGGACCTCGTGCGAGTACGCGCGCACCGGCCCCGCCCGCCGTCAGGACAGCCGCCGCTGCGGGGTGGTCCAGGCGTTGGTGGGGTATGCTGGCAGTCGCAGTCCAGCAAGCGGTCGCAGGCACGGCCCTTGGCTGCACGTAGCCGGCACCACCGCACCCGAACAGGCTGGCAGAGCCGCCGCTGGAGAGCGTGCTCGACCTCGCGCCTCCTGCGGGGCCGAGCCGACTCCCTCTGGGCAGCACAGGTAGCCGGAAACGGACACGAATAAACATGCTTCAGACCTTTGCATTTGTGGATGGTTGTCCTGTCTGGCACCACTACTCAGCGCTTCCGGGCAGCATGTTCACGCCCGCCCCGACGCGGGGAGGCGGCTGGGCACGACGGGTTCGATGGCCCTTGCGTCAGCCAAGGGCGGCTCGGGCAACTCCAGCAGCGACATCGCGAAAGCGCGCTGGGCAGCGACAGCCAGCATCCCTGTCCACTTATAGGCGTTGTCTTGTCACACCGCCGCACGCAAACACATGGGCATTCCGCACGCCTCTGCAGCCGGACGAACCCAGAAGCCTCCTGGCCGATTCAGCCGCCAACTTCAGAACCCTTTTTGTTTTTTTGCCGGACCTTTTTCCGAACTGTTGTTAGCCGTCTGCCCTAGGTTGTCCAGGTATGGTTATCATTGACGCGTGGCAAGAACACCTCCAGACCCACTTTTTTGGCAGCGCACTGAACTCCCGCACAGATCGTCCTCAAATTTGGGCTCGGAATTGAGGCGTTTCCGCCTGGGCTGAGCGCCATGTAGCTGAGGAGCGCAGCTGCTGCAGCACCTGCCCTTTTGTCCAGACATGCAGTGCCGTTCCGGCACCCGACGTGGCCGGATGCCCTACTCAAAAACCGTGTCACAAAAAAAATCTCGCAAAGGAAGGACACAACATCGTGTTTGCGGGCGACACTATAGGCCTTGAAAAGCTAAAAAACCCCAAAGCCAGAACCTCCAAAACATCTCAGGAGGGTTCACATGTACAGCGCTTACGGAGGTAAGACCCAGAGTTATGTTTTTTGGTGCCTAATTCCGTAATAGTGGGATATCTGGATTAAGGGGTCCACGCCCCAAATGCTCTTGTGCGCAAGTCGCGCCGCATTGGGTGTAAGCCTAGCTTACGCATTCCAACTTGGGAAACACCCTGAGCTCTCTGGGAGCACATGGAAGCGTAACGTGGGTGAGGGCTATAGGTTGTCCAGCATTTCGGGCTGCGGGAGGCCGCGCGGGAGGGTTCTAGGAGGCCCGAGTCCTTCACGGTCCGTGGATTATGCGAGGAAGGCCATCGTGACCACACAACCTTGTCTGTCACCCCAACCCTTTCTCCTTGGAAGGGTCGCGCTGGCATCTGCGCGTGTTGGTACGTGTTCGAGACTTACATTTTTTTAGGCCTTCTTGTTGGCTGGACTCGGGTTGTTGTTTTGTTTGTTTTGAAAATCGGGTTTGGGGAGAACTACGTTCTTGTGGTTTTTGTTCGGAAAGCAATGAGTGTGTGTGTGTGTGTGATTTGTGTCGGGGAAGGGTAGCAAAAATCAAACACGCACACACACACACACACACACACACGGAGAAAGGAATTAACCATCACGGTTTCAAGGGAGCGACCGATCGGGGGCATAAATAAAGGGGTTTGGCACCTGATAGTAATAGTGGTTTTGTAGGAATAGAGCCGAGAACAGGGAAAAACAGGAAAGCGCATGGGAAAAACCATGAACAACTTGTGTGGGCAAGTAAGGGAGAGGTAAAACCCTTAAAGGGAATATGGTTTTCACCGTCAGTTGTTGTCAGGAGCTAGGTTTCTGGCCCAGAGACGGATAGGTTTCGGTCTGGAATGGAGTCTATTGGGGGATGAGGGTCCAGTCCCCCTTGTCGTGCCAGACACAAGGAATAAAATCATTTTGAAGCAGCGAAAAAGCAAGGCGACGCGGCGGACCAAGACACGTCAACAAAAGGTGAGGTAATGAAAAACAGTCGGTGAGGAGGCTCCGGAAAGGCGCCTAACAGCGCACGGCGCGCCATTTGATTGAACAAAAATGCAAAAGGCGACAAAAACCATCGGACCCCAAAAAACAAAATGCGACAAAGCCCCCACACGTACTACCCATGATGAAGCTAAAAATGCAACGGCTGCTGGACGGTGGTGCCGGTTGGAATTGGTGGTAGAGCCTCACATAGATCGTGCGCAGCAGTTACAAGGAAGACGGTTGTTTTGGTCTCCGTCGCGGCTTTGTTTGGGACCTTGTCAGTGCTTTGCGGAAGTTCACCTTAAAATGGGCACGTTGGCGATCATTTGTGGGTCTCATTACCATACTTGCCCCCGCTGAACGTGAACCAAATCCTTTGTCCGCCTATAGTTGATTTGTGCTTGTTGCTCATTGGCCATGAAGTAAGTTGACAATTGCATTACCAAGGGGGAGCAATTTGGTACCTGGGTCATTGGAGATGGAATCGCTGTGTGAAGACGTTGTGCGGGCCAGCCCTCAATCTAGATGTCCGTGTAGCGGAAGATGCCAGCATCATGCAATGTGATGTGTGTCGTGAGGTCCTGGATTTTTTTGACGTACGTGATGGTGTTCTTGTTGGCCATGGTGTTGGTGGTTCCGTGTTTGCAAGGCATCCGGATGACGAGTATAGCCATTCGCAACAAAAGCACATGTTTCCAAGGTTTCATTGCCATCCAATACATGTTGAACAAGCCCAAGCATGCAAAGTGGAGGCCTTGCACGGTCCTGCAAAGTTTGATTTGCAACTTCACGTGTTCGTGCTTGCGAAGGATTCCCGGTGGATTTATTTGTGTGGCGTGAAGGACTGAGGTTTGATTCAATGCTTCTTCGGCCTTATCGGAACTTGGCTTGGCTCGTGCAGCACCAGGTGCTCAGCAGGTAATCAACAAGAGACTATCGGTCACGATTTTTTAAGGCGGCTGGTGTTTCAAATATGTTTGTTCTTGAGAACCACTGGCAAAGTGTCAGCGGTTCGTTGCAGGCAGTTTGCAAAGATGTTTTCAGCCTTTGCCTGAGTCAGCAATTAGTACGTGCATGCGTGTCATGCCTAATGCGCGCAATGCAGCTCGCAGGTAGTTCGGCTTCCAGAAATTGTGTCATACTTCGACTTGTTCGCAGAGGTCATGCAAACAAGTTTACACATATGCACAGCATTGCAAGCTTGCGGGTTGTTCGATCCCATTGACAGGTCACGATTTCAAAGCGGCTGGGTGCCAACGCGTCCCTTGCCATGGTCCGTGTGGCTCTGGAGGCATGTGTGGCATGTGCAGTTTTGAGGTTTTTATGTTGGGCCAAAGGCAAGCCGCGTTGCGTCCAGCGAGTGGGCACTACGCCCCTCAGCTGAAGCGGAGCCATGGAGCCTTGGGTCCATGCTTGCACTTTACTCCAGGAAATTTGAGCGATATGCAATGGGATTTCGATTTGCATCCTCGCATACCCAGCCTTACACTTCCCAGTGTCAGGGCCCCAACTTGTGCTGCAATGGCTATGTTTGGCTCTGTTTGCTTGCCCGCTGTGCATTCCAGGCTTTGCTGCTGAGTTCTCAAGATGAGCGCGTGCCGTGTCTCCGCTCATGTTTAAGCGCAGACAACAAGACTTACTCCCGTTTTGGGCTTACGTGTGTAAGGCGGCCACTTGCTCTGAGGGACAGTTTCGAAGCCTCAGGATCCCTGCGCAGTGCCCTCAAACACCAAGCAAGAAAATCAGTCAGTGGATTCAAAGATTAGTTAGGCATCTTCAAGCTGTTGAACGACTCTGGCCGCATCCCCGGTCTTGCTGTCTATGCTTTGATGATGCATACTAGCGCATGCAGGCCACTACATTCCTTTGACACGTCGGGCTCCTGTTTGGTGCTGCTTCTTTGATCTGCGTGCGTAAGCAGAAGCCGCATTTCATGAGGACCGCGGGAGTTGTCGCAGATCGTTTCTTCTGCGCTGTCCCAATGAAAGGCTGCCCTGGCTTCTTGTTTTGCTTACGTTGCGTCATGAGAGTCATGCCGCTGGTACTTCTTGACGACTAGGACGCGGCGCAACGCATGTTGCAAGCTTTAATTGCGTACAGCTCTTGTTGAGACAAGGGCAGACCAGCTCATGTAGGTACATGTCGCAGTGCAGGTCTTGTGAATTTGCTGCACTTGTGTCATTTCTGCTTGGCAGTGACCTTTCGGCCATTTCGGGCATACAGCTTCAACAACTTAGTGTTGGGCATAAAACAAGCAAGTCGTGAGAGGCTTGACGGCTTGACAGGCGTGATCACATCACTATGAGTTGTGCTCAAGTGCATGCAGTCTACGCTAGTTGCGTCATGGCTCCATGGAGCTTCGCGACAAAAGCCCCTCCTTCGCCGGTGCCAGAAGGAGATGAAGAGGTTTGGAAGCTGTCTGCACATACCTGAGGATCTTGGGTGTGCTAAGTTACAAGGTGAGCCCTTTACACGATGAGAGGCGGCAATTGTGAGTACTTTGCGTGATTGCAAGAGCGCATGAGGAAAATCTGTCCAGCTGCAGGCTCAAGGATTTCGCTCATGCCGAGCTTTGCCACTTGGAGGCGTGGACAACTCTTGGCTGTAGATGACCAAGCCTGCATGCGTGTGCAGGCCTTGTCGGGAGATTCTACCGACTGCAATTGCAGCAAGACGAGCTGGTCCTCTTCTCAAGGTGCCGTGTCCGAAGTTGATGCGCTTTGCAGTGAACATCAGTTTGGGATAGTTTGGGCAAAGGTTCACTAAATTTCACTAAGTTGTTCCATGGCTATGATTCCGATAATTAAAGCGTGGATGCTTGATGCCTTTGTAGAGGTAAGAATATGTATATGTATAGATTCTGGGAGGTTACTTGCCATGCCCTGCAGGATGTTGGCCTGACAATAGCTGAAGCCAGGCGGATCACGAAGCGAGACGGCTCAGATCCGAGCACGATCAGCTGGCAGATCAGCTGGATGTAGTGTGACCGGCGCGTCCTGGCGCATTGTTGCTTGGACCATCTTAGAAGAATTTGACTCCCCTGTCTCCCAGCACGGTTCCGCCAGACCAAGGATGTGCTTGCTGCAGCCTGTGGCAAATCCGGTACGGCAGCTTTTCGGAGCCGGACGCCTCGCTTCCAAGCCCGCCGTGACACTTCACAGGCATGCTTGGCGCCTCCAACTTTTCCAGATTTCCTTTTGTGTTTTGATGGCAAAAGCGGCAGGCTGCTCGGACCCCGTTGCGGGAAGTCAACATCAATGCACGATGCGAGGCCCTCTACCTGGAAGGACGCTGTCGGCAGCTGAGGCTTGTTGCTCAGGACCGCGCAGCCCTTTAGCAGACAGGGCTGATCTGGAGCAGGCACGAGCAAAGAACCACTGGAAAAGAGCAGACCCCGCCGCAGCCAATGCTGGGGTCTGAGTGATACAATCCTGGAGCCGCCGATGCCTACAGTATTCATATTTCTTGCGGGTCAAAAATGTTGAGCTGCTAAACCTTGAAGCCTTTCATCCAGCCTTCCATTGGGGGACAAGGAAGTCTCAGAATCTGGACCCTGTGTCTGTCAAGAAGCCTGGAACCTCAAAACCCTGCGGGCAAGTTGCTGGTAACTGCACAATGGCGTGGAAGATGGTTCCCGATTCCAGCGCAGCATCATTTGCACTCAGGAGCAGGGAACCTGAGCAAAAGGCAAAGCCTTCGAAGGCTTGGGCTGAGGAGGTGCTCCGCCGCCACCAGCAAAAGCTGCGCCAGCGCGAGGAAGAGCGACGCTGCAAGGCCAGTGAAGCATTAGCCTTTTCTGAAAACGCCTTGCGAGAGAGAGTGAGCCATCAGAGATCAGTTGATGTCAGGCAGAAAGGCGCGAAGAGGAGGAGCCCTGAGAGCTTGTGGGACCTGTGGCTGGCAATCCGCTTTTTTAGGTGCCCTACTTTTCAACACCGCAGGACCTGAAGGAGTGTTCTTTCGCACCCAAGCTCGTGTCACGCAATCATCTTCAACTGCAAGTGAACAAGGCGGAAGTGACCGGCTGTGTCACTGTTATGCAGAAGCACGAGAGCTTGCAGCGAAAGTCAGCCCGCAGTCAGGCACGACGACATCTGCAAAACTTGGCCGAGCAGCAGCAAGCCGTACTACTTCGTCTTGATGTTCTGCAAGATGGAGATGGGAAGGCAGGATCCACAACCAGAACAGCCCTCGGCCCAAAGGGCTGTGATCCGGGTTGCCCAAACGATGTCGCAGGTTTGCGTGGCATCACGCCTGCAGTGGCCTTCAGCCTCTACGAAGCAGATGCTGGGCTCAAAGCCTGATGCTGGCATGAGTTGCATCGTTGCCAAAGACCTCAACGTACGCCAAAAGCCTTGTGAGGAGCAGATCTCTGCTGCTTGAGGAGCTAGCCAGGATAGATGATGAAGCCCATTGCATCATCCGCGGTCTTGTGGAGTTGGGTGTTCCGAAGGCTGGATCAACATTCCTGACCGCCCATGTGCCAGATTGTATTCGTAGCTATGCTTTCCAGGTTCTTGAGGAACCAGATCCTAGTACAATTTGCTCAGAATATGATTCCGGTCTCCTTCGCCGGATGCAGATGGAAGATGCGTGGGGCTTCAAGGAGCCTAGGGGTAGAGTGCAGAAATACGAAAATTGGATTGAGGTCGCGGCATGGGGCCCGAACCGCGTAGCAGACAATCAGACAGTCAGACTGTCTGCCTGC